CCCAACGCGGCTTCCCGGACCTGCGATTCGAGATCCACCAGTCGTGGCTGTTCTTCCCATTCCACCGGTGGTACCTCTACTTCTTTGAGAGGATCTGCGCGCGGCTGCTCGACGACGACACCTTCGCCCTGCCCTTCTGGAACTGGGACGACCCCTCCGGCATGGAGATCCCGGCGCCATTCGACGTCCCCGGGTCACCGCTGCACGATCGGCGCCGCAACCAGACCCACCTCCCCCCTGCGGTGGCGGATCTGAACTGGGACGGCTCCCCGACAGGTCTTTCGCCGGAAAAGCAGAGGTACTACAATCTAAGCGTGATGTACAAGCAGATGGTCACCAACGGCGTTACTCCCAGGCTTTTCATGGGCCAGCCGTTCAAAGCCGGAGACGACATCAACTCGTTAAACGGAGCCGGTTCGATAGAGACGGCCCCTCACAACACGCTTCACGTCTGGACTGGAGACCCGAGGGAGCCAAACGTAGAAAACATGGGTGTGTTTTACTCCGCGGCCCGGGACCCGATCTTCTACACGCACCACGCGAACATAGACCGATTGTGGACCATATGGGCCGAAAAATTGGGCGGGAAAGTGTTCACCGACCCCGATTGGTTAGAAACATCATTCGTATTCTACAACGAGGACAAAAAACCCGTTCGAGTGAAGATAAAGGATTGCCTCAATTTTTCGAGGCTCGGCTATGCCTACCAAGAAATCGAGACCCCGTGGCTCAATGCAAAACCCAAACCCCGCACGCGTAGAAAAAGCGAGGGTAGAGTTAGGTCGTCTGGTGATGTCATTACTGACGATCGGGATTTCCCAAGGAAACTAAACGAGTCCCTAAACATTGTCGTTAAACGAGAACCATTAAGGAAAGTGAGTAGTAGTGGAAAGAAGAATATTAATGAAAATGAGGAAGAGGTTTTGGTTATAGAGATCGCTGAGTACGATATCGCTCGACACGTGAAGTTCGACGTGTACGTGAACGAAGATGACGTGGAGTCTTGCATGCCGGATAACACAGAGTTTTTGGGGAGCTTCGTGAGCGTGCCGCGCGGGGTTCACGATGATGATGATGTCGTCGTGACGTCGGCAAGAGGGGCACAAAGATTCGGGTTGTCGAATGTGGTGGCGGAGTTGGGTGTGAAGGAGGACGATGTTTTGATGGTGACGTTGGTGCCGAGGAGGGGTTGCGCGGGGTTGGCGGTGGGTGATGTGAGGATCGAGTTCGATGCAAGTGGTCCGTAGGATTTGGCAATTGAGTGGATGAGCGCGGTACACTCAACTTGATATGCATAGTAGAGAAGAAAGATGGATTATTAAAAAAAAAAGGTGTTTCATTATTAAAAGGAACTAGTACAATACTCATGTACAACATGAGTGTTGAGTTAAGAAATATATATATATGATAAAAGTTATTTATGTCTAATATCAAACATAACTCCAAAACAATAATAATAATATAAAAACAACATCACGAAGCATAGATTTTCGCCAAGTCAGCATCCGAAACGTGAGAATCTGCCACATAGGCTCAACACGTTCTGAATTAATATATAGAGAGGGATAAAGAATAAGTTGCGTGTCATCAATTTGTAAAGCAGGCCAATAAAAATTGTGTTGCAGTTGTGGTTCTGAAAACTGAATCAGTCATTGAACCGGTAAAACTACTGGTTCAATAATTCACTGGTCGGACTAGTGGTCGAACTGGTCGAACCGTTTTAATTAATATATAATGTTTTATATATTATATATATAAGTATATAATTATATATATATTTATCATTAATTTTAATGTGTATGACATTTCTGTATATAAGAGTTCAATAATATATATAACCGACAATGTTGAATAATGTTGTTAACTTTTTTTCTTATTATTTTATTTTATATTTAAATTTTTAATCTATATTTAAATTACAGAATAGAGAAAATAAAAAAAAAAACCCAATTTTCATTTTAAATCACATTTTATTTTTTTTATTAATTAAAAAAATAAAAATAATGTGCATAACAAACTATAATAAATTGCTTCTATTTTATAAAAATAAAAAATTGAGAAAAGATATAACCCAATATATAATCATAATTGGATGGATAATTTACACATATTTGTGTGGAGACCATGTTATAATTGGGCCTCAGTAATGATATAGCACTGATTTAGGCCTAAAAAACATTGATCTAACCAAGCTAATAGTTGGGCCGGGAGTCACAACCCACTAAGAGTCCGCCCGTCGTCGTAGAAGAACCCAGCCGCCGTGGTTGAGGTGCTCACTGATCTTGCTCGGGACCTTGGTGGAGGTTCTCGTTTGATCCATCAAACTTACACCTTTTTTCCATCTAATTTTCAGTAGCTGTCACCAATTATCCATACCAATTCCTTTATTTTAGGCGGTGGCGACCATTCGTCTGTGCATCTAGGGTTTTTTTTTCTTCGAATTAGGGTTTCCAGTTAATCTGCGCAGCCATGTCTGTGACGGCGGGCGTCAGCGACACGGTAATCGCAATCAGGGACAAGCTGAGGGGCAAAATCGGGCAGACGAAGGTAAAGCGTTACTGGCCCGGAAAGGCGCCCGAGTGGGCGGACGACAATGACGAAGCCGGCGACATCCGCACGTCGGGCCTCGAGAAGGCCTTCCCCAGACATGAAGGGTCCGACGCCGGCGTCGTCCGCAAGGACGACCCAAGGCTGCGCCGCCTGGCGCAGAGCAGGGCCGAGAACCGAGACGAGGTTCGGGAGGACCATCGGCGGATCCGGCAGGCGGAGATCGTGTCAACGGCAGAAGAGGAGAGTCAGCGGCTGGAGGGGGTGGACATAGACGAGGAGGAGGAGGACGTCCTGGAGGAGCGGAGGCGGAGGATCCGCGAGAAGCTCCTCCAGCAGAGGCAGCAGGAGGAGGCGGAGCTTTCGCCGGAGGAGGAGGAGGAGGTTGAAGAGGAGGAGGAGGAGGAATCCGAGTACGAGACAGACTCCGATGAGGAAATGCCCGGCATAGCCATGGTGAAGCCTGTTTTCGTCCCGAAATCCGAGAGGGATACCATTGCCGAGCGAGAGCGGCTGAAGGCCGAGGAGAAGGCGCTGGAGGAGGCCGTGCAGAAGAGGCTGGAAGAGAGAAGGAAGGAGACCAAGGAGATTGTCGTGGAGAAGATCAAGGAGGATATTGAGATCCAGAAGAATCTGGAGCTGGAAGCTAATATTTCCGATGTGGACACGGATGACGATGTGAATGAGGCTGATGAGTACGAAGCCTGGAAGGCCCGGGAGATTGGAAGAATCAAGAGGGACAGGGAGGATCGGGAGGCCATGCTTAAGGAGAAGGAGGAAATCGATAAGGTGAGGAACATGACTGAGGAGGAGAGGAGAGAATGGGAGAGGAAGAACCCGAAGCCCAGCAAGCAATCCAAACAGAAGTGGAGGTTCATGCAGAAATACTACCACAAAGGTGCTTTCTTCCAGACGAATCCAGACGATCACGCGGGGACTGCTGGTGCTGACGGCATCTACACGCGCGACTTCTCGGCCCCGACTGGTGAGGATAATATGGATAAGACGATTTTGCCCAAGGTTATGCAGGTGAAGCACTTTGGCCGGAGTGGAAGGACGAAGTGGACTCATCTTGTCAATGAGGACACGACCGATTGGAATACTCCGTAAGTGCTTATTTTCTGAAGTTTTTTCTTGGAAAATGGTTTGTGGTATAAAAGCATGTAGACAGCACCGGAAAACTATATAATTTTAATGTATCATAAGAAGTTGAAAATGTAGTTTTCATGTGGACAATCTCATATTCTCTTTGTATGAAACTAGGGTTGTTCCTTGCAGTCTTTTGTCTACTCTGCTTTAGGAGTTTGCTTTATGATAAAGAAACTTATAAATGTCCAGAAGAGGTTTTGAAATGGGAACCCTTTTGAATAATGTTTGAACTTAAGTAAATGAATATAGAAGGTTTGACCTAGTGTGCAGCTTAAAAGCTTGTTAATACTAAATTCACTTCTTATTTTTTCCATTTGAAATTACGGCACTCTGGTTTTAGCATATGATTTTCAGAATATGAATTGTTTTGTGTATAAAACTATAAATCATAGGTGTAAAGAATTTTTTGTATATATTTTCACCTCTATGTATATCTGTCATAATCTTGAACTCAAATGTGCATCATCAAGTAGAAGCTTGCAGTGGAGTCTTGAGATGTATGAAAATGTTTCATACTTTTAGTATGTTTATTTGTATTTTATGTTCTGGCATAACTTTTCGCATTTCGTGAAAAAAAATTATGTGCATATATTGTTGTCAGAGGACATTGTTCCAGCATTTCCTGCCTTGAGGATGTAGAAATATTTTAGGCTGGTGTATTATTCGTAACACTTTTTCTTAGAAATTGACGTTCGATAGCCACAACAGAGGCTGATTAATTACTGTATGAAATGCAGATGGACCTACAATGATCCTCTCCGTGATAAGTACAATAAGAAGATGGCCGGGATGAATGCACCCATAGCAAGACCTAAAGGGAGCAAAAAGTTGAAAGATTGGGAATCACGTTAAACTTCATATATTATGAAGATGTATACCAAAAAGAGATCAACTACTCTGCAGGAGAAGACAAGGGGTTTAATCGTGCAAGCTAATCTATGCATATCATGTGTATCAATAACTTAGAAGTCCTAATCTCCATGCTCTTCGAAGGCTGTATGTTCTGTATTAATGACGTCTCGTCTGAACTGGTTTAGAGTTGATCTTTTGATAGATGGCCCTGATATATGTTTTTCTCCTGTTTTATGCATTTGTATTCCTTGGAGTTCGATATGTTTGTCAGTTTGGTTTACTTATCTTTTATATATATTAACTACATTTTTCTTAAGGTTCAACTGTTTTACATGATGTCTTGATTCATGAAGGAATGATGCTATATTGGCCTAAAGGAAAATGGTGGCTGCAGCATAGCTTTATTGTTCTTGAAATGTTATTGGTTTTAGATTATTTACCAGTAGTATTTTGGGTGAGCCTGCAATTACTACATTGTCAATTGCTTTATGCTACAGAAGACAATTTTTTGGACATGAGCTTATAAACTACATCCAAAAACATCTTTTAAGTTCTTTTAAGTTTATAACCTATAAGGTGTGTTTGTGTGTAAAGTTATGCAATTCAAATTCAAAATTTAACTCAACTTTAATCCAAGTAGAGCATGGACGTTGTCGAGCATAGATCGTTTTTATCACTGCTTGAGCCAAGCTCGACTCGTGAAACAAATGAAAATACTCGAATTTGACCCGATGCTCGACTTGAATTTTAACAACTATAAATTATGCACCTATGAACAATCCACGCCGAAAAGGGCCAAACTATAAACTTCAAATGAAGAGCATAAAAAACGACTGTTTCATCATTCCTTTTTTTTAATATTCCCAATTCTTAAGTTCCTATCTTCACATCCTCTGCGAAATTCAGACTTCCTTTTCAGCGAATCGAAACCCTAGAAAATCCAAAAGGAACAAATCCTTGACAAATCGAACTAACTATTTGTCTGTTAGATCAAGCTACAGAGTCATATACGAGCATAATTGCTCGTACCTGCAGATTTGCTGCCCACATAGATGGAGCACGAAGGGCAGCACGAACAACACGACGACGTTTACGGCGGCGACCTGCCTGAGGAGGCTTACATGGAGTCAGATTTCGATCCTTCTGCTGATGCGGAAGCGTGTGCAACTGATGACTCCAAAGGCAAGGTATGATACTTATATCCAATTCATGTCGATGTGCGTGTAGAAATATGAAAAGGAATCGATATGTATGAGTGCGTAATTTAAAATTCAATTGATAGAGAACGCTTATGGGGCGTTGTGGTTGATATTGTCGTTTTTTTTTTTTTTAAATACTGGAGGACTTGGAGAATATGAAGAAAAGATTGCAGGAGATTGAAGAAGAAGCAGGTGCTCTACGGGGATTGCAGGCTAAGGTTGAGAAGGAGATGGGCGCAACTCAAGGTTTTTCTTTTGCATACTCTGGGCACATGAATTTGCGATCATCTTGTGGTCCTATTTTTATTTTTCGAAAGATGTGGTTCGGGCAAGTTTGAAACTGTGGATACAAAGTTGTAGTGTCTTTCCAGGTTAAACGACATACTTTTTTCTGTAATATTTGCCAGAATTCGAATAGCGGAAGGTATATATTACTTGATGTCGAATATTGAAACTGGGTACATGTATTTAAATGCAGGAATCTTATTTAAAAAAGAAAAAAATGATTGTGCATTGCTTTTTTTTTTTATAACAAAACCTTTATTTTATCTCACTCTGCAGTCTTGCGTGATGGTTTAAATCTTTTGAGTTCTATGTTGCATTGGTTTCAAAATGTAAGAACTTAAGGTGATATCTTGGTAGTATTAAGTACTTTACCAAGCAAGATGGCTGGCAAGCGTTGTATCACAAACTGCATTGAGCTTTTGCTAGGCTGGACAGCATATTAAGTACTTGGGGGGATTGGAGAGTTAGGAACACAAAGGTACTGTAGAAAATGGATAGAGGCATCTAAGTTGAATCTTGATATGTTCAGTATTGCATATCCTTTTCAACTGAACCAAAAGGTTACCTGTGTTGGGTTGTAAATGTCAACATAGAGAAATTACGTGAAATTGTTAAATTCAAATGTAAGTTAATTTATGTAAAGGTATTTAGAACACGAGGAATAAAACTTTTGTCTTTGATATGGTTGTGAGATGAAGTAAACTTGAAATGAAATATGAAAAGTGAGTTCTTAACCTAAATAGAGTACTATCTCTTTCTACCAATAGCTGATGGCAGATTTATTTGGCCTATTCATCAAATATGAAGAACCCCGAAGTTAATCTAAGTTTTGGTTAAACCATTAAAGAGTCAACTTCCAGATTTTCAGAGTTTTCCGCTTTAACTTTTCAATGCTTTAAATCCAAGCTCATCTTGAGGACCAAAAAAGTTAATAGCACATGCTCATGTATGCTTGCACTTCTCACTCTCACATACAAATCAAGGAGTCAAAGGATAGCTGAATGTCTGTAATTACTTGTAAGCTATTGTATTGTCCAATGGTTCAGCTCAAACTGTTCTTTCAATGGTGGTTGTGGTGCTGCTATAGGAGATCATTTACACTTTGCTATTGGCACATCATGAATAGATGGTTGTTATGGTGGCTCCACAGGCTGCAATGACAGTTTTTTTTTTGGCGAATGTTGACCTAAGGCTGGTTCGTAACATGATCCACTATTAGAAGTTAGAACCAAACTTTGAAAAGTATGGTTTTTTCCGGTTCATATATTGTGAAACCCTGGATCAACATGTCGAAACTGTCGTTCAACTGCTGGTTTTTTCGTCAGATATATTATAAATATTTGAATTTAAGAATTAACTTCTAATGTTTAATTAGTGATACAGAGACAGCTTTAACTTAAGTATTTAAAGTTGAAATTTGAATCAAGCTCAAATTCCTCCTTCTTTTGCAGTCAGAAAAATTTACTTCATTTTTATATCGAAAGCCCCAAATGAAGAATTTACAAACATTTATATGTTCGATAAATAATTTAGAAAACGATTTAAACCAAACCAACAGTCCATACCTGTTAAAAAGTGGAAACACAACCGTTCTGTTTTTATTAGCTTTGGACTTCACTGTGCATACGAGAGGCACATGCTGTTGTAAACTTTCTCAAATTTTCCTTGCTCCCCTTGTGCTCCATTCATCTTCACCTGAGGTTCTCAACCCTCTCCGGATATGTTTTGCCTTTACACTTTCTCTTATCTCACCCTTAGTCTCCCCCATCTCTCAAGTTATGTTGGTTGAAGAAGAGGTTTTCCAATGTAATTTTATTCAAAGTGTGAATTGAAGATAATTTTGTTCTGAAGCCTCCCTCTGTTATGGGTGTGAGTTAATGTATTGAATTTGGTGTTTATAGTAAATGCAGGCTGTTACGCTTGCTCTAGCAGAGATGGGTTGTTAGGTGGGTTGTAGCTGGAACTTTTGTTTCCATTCAAATAATAACAATAAAAAGAGCAGTGTGATATTGAAAATATGATGACGCATAATTTGTGCAGTTCCTAGGCAGAAAGGATGTCACTGGCGTGATTTCTTTTAAATGTTTTCAGTATACTTTTGTCGTGTCAGTTACAACCACCAGACATCGACCATACTTTTTATAAATTACGGTAACATGCAAAATTATGACATGAAATTTAAGATATATTTATGATTTCAAGAAGATTTATGCAATATGGTAATAGAATTATGATTATTGATATTATTGCAATTTTATTCACTTAACTCTGTCTTGTACAGTCGTACTGACCCTCATTATGATATTGTATATCTACCATTATATTGCTTTATACCGTTCGCTTTATTTTTTGCTTTTCACCAATTTTTCTTCCCTGTATAACTTTCTCGTAGATTTTTTTATAATCACGAATAATCTGATTACTCTAGTGGATCGCTTTAAAATTAAATTCGGTAGGAGTTTTATATATATCTCTGTCTTTGGATATTTCTCTGAACTGTTATTTGTGAGGCGGATAAGTCATGACGAGTCACAATGCACCGATGTCGCAGTTCAGAAGTACGTAAAAATTGTGACAGTATTAGCTCTGAGGGATTACTCTTTTTTCTCTATGATATCAAGAAACTTATATGAAGATGCATTTAATTGTTTCCTTTTTGTTTTAGCCATTCATGCGCGTGAAACTATGTGAGGATACCCCATTTTTGGTCAGATCTCAATGTTCTGCCAAAAAAGGTGGTTCTCCTTATCAGTGTTGTTAATGGCGGATGGCGGTTTGCCAAAAATCCGCCATAGCGGCGCCTCCATCTCTGCCATATCTTCACAAATTTGGCTAGGATTGTCAAAAATCCGCCACACCACGACCGCCATTTGAAAACACTACTCGTTATACACTTTTGATTATTATTGCAGCATCACGATGAGATTGGTCTAAATGGTTAATTGTTTATGAAATTTAGTGAGAACTAAGAATGGAATGGCTTGATAAAATCCAGTAGGAGAAATTTGTATTTGAAGAATGATGTGATATTTGATATTTCTAGCCCAATCTTTTTTAGTTGTTTTTCTTTCTTTGACTCCTTTGGTTGATAATCATTTGGAAGTTATTAGTATATTGTTTATGGGATTGCTTAGACTTAGATATAGAATATTGATGTGCTACTGGCCCCAGAAGGTTGGTTTGTAGTGGAAGTTACAGGGTCTCTTTGAAAATTGAGTGTGAAATTTTGTCACATAAGAAAGTGAGTGGGTCTCCTGAGAATTATTATCTTTTGGGTTCATTGTATTGGCTTTTACCTTGAACCTCTTAAGTTGCAGTTTTGCTTCTTTAATTTCATTTAAACCAGATACCTCTGTTCTGTAAATATTGTTTATGCAATTTGTGGTGGAAAAGACCTACTCAAGCGATTAACTTTTATTATGTATCTGCAGCCTGCAGGTGGACTTATGACTGTCATTTTATTTATCTATTTTTCCAATAAAGACAAATAAGTAAAAGAAATAAAAAAGAATTGCAAGCTTTGCTATTATAGTGCTGAAATCTATGTGGTATTGGCTTCAGAGTGTGTATATTGATTTAATTAACTACACATTCCACTTGCATCAAGTGGAACGCAAGTTTTATGCACGTGTCATCAATATGCTGAAAACATGTTACTGAAGTAATAATTAACAACATTTTTTGTTGTTTTTATTGGTGTGGTAAAAGATGCAGGTGGGTCCTCTGCCACCCAAGCTGAAAAGGAGGAGGTGGATTCTCGATCCATTTATGTTGGAAATGTAAGTTTTTATTCCTTTTTTTTGTAGATTTTTTTTTTTTTGGTTAAATTGTCCATCTCTTATGTTGAAGAAAGACGACAACTGTGTTGAAGGCTCTTTCTACTCATACTGACTGCCTTCAGTGGTTGCTTATGCTTGCCTTTTAAATTCCTAGTTCTTCCAGCGGAAAGGGTTTGCCATTGTTGTTCCACTTGTCTATTTGAGTAAAAAGCATTTGATTTTCTTTTTCTAATTTTGTTACGTTGGTGCATATATATGTGCACATATATTCTTGTATTCTTTACCAATTAATCTCTGAGCTGATTTCTCTCTTATTACAGGTGGACTATGCCTGCACACCTGAAGAGGTGCAGCAACATTTTCAGTCTTGTGGGATTGTGAACAGGGTCACTATTTTGACTGACAAGTTTGGTCAACCCAAGGGCTTTGCTTATGTGGAGTTCGTGGAAGTCGAGGCCGTTCAGAATGCTCTTCTGCTTAACGAGTCAGAGCTGCACGGCCGTCAGCTGAAGGTCTTGCACTTATCTTGGTTTGAACATTAAAGGAAAGAATTTTCTTAGACCTGATATTAAGTGTTCTCTCTCTCTCTCTCTCTCTCTGTCTCTTTTTTTTTCCCCTTAATTTCCAGGTGTCAGCTAAGAGAACTAATGTCCCTGGCATGAGACAGTACAGGGGTAGGCGCCCCAATCCGTATTTTGGGTCAAGAAGGCCTTTTATGCCTGCTCCTGGCTACCCTCCTTATGGCTATGGGTGAGTAAGATGACTCTTTTGCTTTTAGCTTAGAAATAATGGGTGGTCCAATAGAATGTTTTCAATGAAATAGTTTGTGTTTCATCCCATTACTTGAGTTCTTGCATATGCTGCTGACAATTATCTGAACTTCTTTCTCCTGTTTGTGTAACTAAACAGGAATGCTTTTCGAATTTATTGTTTATATGATGTCATTATTCTGTAATCTGTTATGTATGCAGTGTTGTGTGTTTTGTCTGTTTCTTGGGTTTCAGTGTGTATTTCTTAGTGATCATACAATCATTCTGTTTTATTTCTAGCAATTCCTGGTCTTTGTGCGTAACATGAAAGCCGACTGCAATTACTAACTGTTCTGATTCCTGAGGCGCTAAAGGGAAACCATCAATTTGCTCTCCTTTAGTTGCTAAACGTGTTTGCTTCACTGGATCATAGTTATTTTAAAACTTCACTTTGTACCCTATATAATCGGAATTCTAATGTTAATTCAATCTCCATGTGCAGGAGTGTTCCGAGGTTCAGGCGTCCTATGCGCTACAGGCCTTATTGATGACTCTCTCTCGAGTAGGGCCCACAAAGCAACTGGCCGTGAAAATGAATTCTGAGCGAGCAAATTCGACTTTCACTCTCTTTTGAAATCATATACCATTTCCTTGTTAGTTTTTTCATCTTCGAGTCCAGATTTATTTCGATACTGAAACTTCTATGCGACTTTAAATTGCAATTTTATGGTACTATTAATAGCTGCATTACTGAACTACAACAACATGGTATATAGTCAACAAGAGAGAACCCCTTTTTTGTTGTCGTTATGTGCTGTAATTTGTGTTGCTGTAGCCAGTGATCTCATATGCTTGGTTCTGTAATATTTGGGTGGTGTTATGTTCAGTGGGTTGTCATTAGCCTTTTATCATTGATGCCATACAATTTACTTGAATTCGGCTATTTGCTTTATCTTTTGGCCTCTGGGATTTCTAGATAAATTGCCACACTACAAATTTTTGTGTGTGAGACTGCTAACGGTTACGTGGATCGACTCGTCATGCTCTGCAAATAAATATGCATCTTTATACGGACAAATGTCATTCTTTTATTTATATTATTTTTTTAATATAACATTTTCTAATAATAATATCGATATTTGTAAAAAGATCATGCCGATCTAATGGTTAAATTGGGGGTAACAGAAGATTTACTACATTCACGACATCATATTATGAACGTACTGTTTGTACACTTCATTAAATCTATCTGCAAGTATATCTTCTTGCAAATGGTTTTTGACATTTTAGTGATGTTTGATTGATAGTTTCCACATTTATTCGTACCGAAATGAAACTAGGGTGCGTTTGTTTATGAAATAACTCAATTCATACTCAAAATTTAACTCAATTTTAGTTCAACTCCACTATTTTTATATTATCAATATAATTAAATAATAACAATCAAATTATTTTTACACATCACATTAACTTTAATTAACTATTCACCCACTCACATAATGTTAACTAATCATCACTTCACATTACATCTCTCTTATTTTTACATCAAATTAACTTTATTTCATTTTATTTTAAATATTATTTTAATATAAATTTTAATAAATTCTAAAATTCTACTAACAACTAATGATACCACATTGTTTCAAATTAACTTTGGTTAACAAAAAAAAAGAAAGAAATTTGAACGGATATATTTGTATCTAAACACGCATAAGTTGTCAAAATCAGCACAAATATGGAAGATGTTGACCAGTGCTCTAAATTAGTAAATTCTCTAATACAATTCATGTGAAAGTGAAGTAGCCGCACAGTCCCACATTGATAAACAATACACCTCAAACTGAATAATGTCCAGTATAAATGGCTACGAAATCATTTGGTTATATCACGCAGCTGCGTGGTGAGCACAAAGCGAACTATTCTTTCGCCTTTTACTAAAGAATACCGTGTGCTCTCCACATTTCAAGCAGCATACGCCCATTTTTGGAGGGACTCCACTTCCTTTTGGAAAAGGGCCCCTACAATTGAGTCCATTATTTTGGTTCTCTGTTAAGTGTCTGTGTGTGAACTTTGAGAGGAAATACATGAATGGAAGGGCCCCTTATCTAGTGCTTATCTTACGCGCTCACGACTCATTGCCAATGATCGTAAAATAGCTTTAAGAATGGTGTTCTATAGAAAGAACTGATCATGAAATAGCTTTAAGAATGGTGTTCTATAGAAAGAACTTATATTCAATGGAAGAATGGTTGATTAATTGCATTGTCTACAAATTTAGTTATACATGAAGTATTGTGCCAATAAGAAATTCCAGTGTCTACAAATTTGATTAGTCTTATAGATGAAACACCGTGCCAACTGCAAATAAACAAGCCTCTTTAACTCTATTCTTTCAATATGTTATAAGCATATGTATACACAATATACCAA